TTTTTTTTTTTTTTTTTTTTTATAAAAGTACAGTTTTTTTCCCCCCCCCTTTTTCTTTTTCTTGTATTAATGTGCAACAACACGTGAATAGTAATTATCAATAATTAATCAATTTTTTCTTTTTCCCCCCCAATCTTTTAAGAGTTCATCAATTTTTTCATTGGCAATGTTTTAACACAAAAAAAAAAAATTAAAATAAATTTAAAAAAAATTTTTAAAGAAAACTGCACATGCTCACGAACAAACATACATGCATGCTAATACACGAATCCACTTACACACACACACACACACACACACACCACGTTTACACACATTATAAAGGATTATTAATTTCGACCACTTGGTGGTCTCATATACGCGGGGGCACGTTAGAAGTTGGTGGTAGCGATAGAAAATGTCTTTTTTCTTTTTTCTTTTCTTTTCTTTTCTTTTTTTATGCACATTAGATGCGCGAATAATATATTATTATATTTTTGTCTTCATTTGAAATCTTACTAAATTGAAATATTTCAATCTCTCGATTACCAAAAGTACAACACATCCTTGTTATACTCGTTGATTTTCTTTTTTCACTTTTTTTTTATTTTTATTTTTCTTCTAAAAAAATGGCAACTCTCGTTATCTGAACTTCAACTTTTATGGGAGGAGGAGGAATCATCATAATCATCATCATCATCATCATCATCATCATTGTCATTCACATTCATTCAAATAAGCTTTATAGATTTTCACTATACAATAAAAATCTATTTTAATGACTACTATGTTTCCGATTATTTCATTTATTTTATTTATTTATTTTTTTTAATTCAATACTTCAACTTTCCCCATTTTTTTTTTTTTTAATTCTCATTTCGATGAACACTCCTCAATTCAAAATCATAATTTTACTAACATCACCACATCTTTTATTATAAATAAGATTTTGAATTATAATCAGAGTTATTAATTAGCAACCCTAATTTCTATTTTCTCGATAATATCTTTTTATCGATATCCCCTTAAATTATGGACAAATGTATCGTATAACAATTTTCAAAACGTCTGTAAAAAATTGGATACACTGTAATCCCAGAAAGAGACAAATCTACAAATGACCCGAACGAGAGAGTTTTTTTTTTTTCTATTTTTAAAAACGAACCTTTCCATAATTTCATTTTTTCAATATCGTTTAAAGTGGGATATATCATCTTGTATAAGAAAGAAGCTCGAGAAAACGATTGTCAGATAGTTTTACAATGCTTCAAAACACAAATAAGCATTCTAACAATTTCGACGACATGTAAAATACATAATATTCATTTTTTAATTCTGTAATCTCTTTTTTTTTTTCTTACGAATTTTTTTTTTTCCCCTCCAATGCAAAAATTATCTTTTTCTTATTTTTATTTTTCATTCAATTTAATTCCCTACGTAGAATTAATTAACGTTAAAATATTATTAGACAATTTGTATTTTAATTACACATTATAATGTTACAATGTGTTTAAAATTGTCACCAAATATATTTCTTTAGAAATTCAATCTAAAGGGTGGAATTTATTTGATTTATTTATTACCACGATTATTATTGTCTCGTTATTTGGCATCTTTGTTACTTCCTGAATATATCTTTCTCATATTTTTGTGTTATTTTCAGAGTACTAAGAATCATTGTACAAAAGAGAATTCAACCCTTTGAATGATACATTAATATCATCTGAAAGAGATGAAAACTCTTCTCATTATGACTCTTCCTTATCAGAATATTTAGCCATTTCATTGCGAATCCATGGAACGTATTTCGGTACATAGGCGTAGACGCCTGGTAATTTTGGTTGAGCACACTTTATACCCCAACTTACTATACCACCAACAAACCATTTCTCTTTGTCATCTTTGTCTTGACATAATAGAGGCCCTCCAGAATCGCCCTTTAATCAAATTTTCATGATAATCCTTACATTGATGATAAAGATACAAAATTTATTATATATTGCAGTATAATATAATATATACTATACTATATAATACTGTATACACAACAAATTTCAATCCACTAATTATTAATGTATTATAATATAATACATGTGTAATAATATTATAAAGAAAAGACAACACAATATTTTTCAATGTACTCGTTTCAAAGTTCCTTTCCAAATAAAAATAACAAATAATTTATTATAAAAATATAATTATAAATTTACCTGACAAGCATCCTTTCCACCATCAGGATAACCAGCACAAATCATACCCTCGGTTACATTCAATTCTTTATAAGCCAACCACATGTTACAAACCTGTCTACTCAAAACAGGAACTTGTACCTCGTTAACAGCTGGTTCATATTCAGCATCTATAATTAATCGTCTTATCATTCTATATGAATTTAATTATTAAATAAACATTTATTCTTTTTATTTCAATAGACCAAACAATTCGATTTTATTTACTCGATTACATTTCAACGAGAAAACACTTTGCATTTTAACTCCCCACAATCGAATCACTTTTTTTCTACAAGTTTATTTGTTAAAGGATTTACCTTGAGTGTCGTTCTTCTTACCCCAACCAATAACTGTGCACAGGGTTGCTGGGGGAAGATTGGTTGTAGCAGTGGGTAGACACACTGGTCTCAAATGTTCATGAAATTGAACACGTTTCTCTAACTGTTTATTTGATATCAATATTAGAATATTATTGGAATTTTTGTTAATTAAAATTTATATTATATTCATGGGGGGTGAAAATGTAAATTTCAAAAAATACCTGACACAATGCAACATCGTTATCATGAACGATACCCAAACTGTAATCAGGATGACGAATCACTCTCTTGATCTTTAATTTTTGTCCAAGATAAGTATGACTGTGTCTTCTAGTAATACCTAATTGAATTGTCCAACCAGAAACATCCGAAAGACTAAAAATATTTTATTTTTGTTTGTTTGTTTTATTGTAAAAATTAAACGTGACATTTATTTATTTTTTTAATAACAAATTTGCTTACTTTCCAACGCAATGAGATGCTGTTAAAACCCATTGATCAGAAATGAGTACACCGGCACAGTAAAAAATTTGTTCTGGGCCACCCAATAGGGCTGCTAAGAAGGGCCAATCACCCGGAGAGGATTCAACACCACCGACTATTCTAGTTTTAACGTTTGAATTACCGTAAAGTGGAAATCTTCTGCCGCAAGCTGCAATTTATTCGTGAAAAAAAAAAAAAAAAAAA